TATGTTTTATACCTAAATATTTGATGTTAAATAATGAAAGCCCTGTTTCCCCTAAATAAAATGATATATAATAAGTATGGGTGCACATAATATGAAAGAGGTGAATTACGCCTGAACAGACATATAGCGCAAATTCAAGTTTTTGTTTACGTTTTGTTTTGATCACAACGTGTATATTTGGCTCAGTCCTTAAGGGGTTAAGGACACAAGCAATTTTTGATATTTGTGTGTTAAAACACAATTTCCATCTCATTTATTGTACCAACACATATTATATACCATTTTTTAAATGGACAAAAAGAAAAGCCTACATTTTACTTGACATATACATATATAAATTATCATTTATTATGCAAATAACCCCCACCACATATTTTTACAGTTTTGGCAGTAATAATGTGTGCATAATTAGTAAAGAGTAAGACTTTGTTTTTCAAAATAATTTTTGTCTGTCTAGAATTTTAGTTTATTTTTGGTAGTTACAGGTCACAAAATACAAGGAGCAATATTATATATATAATATGGAACAATATTAGAATGTTGTATTTTTGTCTCCTAAGCTTCCTAGCCATCACAAAATTGCCACACAAAAGTATATATTATATATTTATATAAAGAAACTGTATATCTAAGGCTATTTTGACACTTTTTTCATAGCCATTTTACTGGCAATCAATTGTAAATACTGTAGCAAAATTGTGTTTTTTTATTTTTGACAATTGAACATCTGTGGGATGTGCTGGAACACATTACTTGATGCTGGAATCAGGAGAGTGAGAACAGGTTTTTAACCCTATACACAGAGGTCCACAGGCATCACAGAGTAGTGCAAAATTGAGAAGGTTTAATAAACCCATAAGGACAAAAAAAACCAACAATCCGGATACAACGTTTCAGCCCTGAAGCCTTAATCATGTTTAAACACAGCATTTAAATTCCTTAGGTACTCATGAAAACTGCCAAACAGTTGTCTCATAACCATGAGTGATGTCATCATGCAGTGGAACACCCCAAGAAACAAACAGATGAGATTTGGAAACCCAAAAAATTAACCAATTCAAAATTGGTAGAGATCAAATGTGAATTACTATATGAGGATGTATCTGCAGAGTGGAGGTGCCCAGTACAGGGTAAAAGTTGCATACATGACATACAACTCTCAAAAAAATGGGTTACATTAGTGAGTGTAGGGGTACTTACCCAGCCAGCATCACTCCTGACTCCAGACGAGCCACGTGCAGCTTGAACACTCCGGGCGGGCTGTGCACACCGAATGTTCTGATCGGGCGCGTGTCCTATGCAGGATTAAGTACGCTGCTCACATCACAAGCACGTTTTTAAAGGTGAAATGGGAGCCTAACCTTGCAGTCGGCTCCCATTGGCCCACGTCATTCCAGCACCCTCCATTCACTCACGTTTTGAAGCGCAGGTATGACGTAGACCAATCAAATGAAACCTAGGATTATTTAAACTTACCTGACCCTAGATACTGTATCCTATTATGGATTCTGTTCCCAGTACCCTTTAGTGCATTCCTTGAGTTTTTGTATTCTATTCTGGTATTGACCTTGGCTTTGTTTCCTGAGTTTTTCTTTAACCCTTGCTGGGGAGTCTGACCTGGCTAGCAGCTACTCATCAGTCTTATAACTTCTACGCATGTCCCCAGTGTCCATAAAGCTGCAGCTGATGCATTATCCAGTTTCAAATTTCAGGATTTTTTTCTGGCATCACCCCACAGCAAACAAACAAGCAACCATGCCTCCTCATTTCGAAGAATTAATCCTGGATTAGAGGCACTCTTAGTGCACAGTAAAGGTTTGTCCCAAATAGGCTTGTCAGATAACACCAGGAAAACATTCGATAGAGCTTTCAAATTTACCAAATTTGTGGAAGACTTTGAGAGTTGTCTGACCTATTTAAACCCAGACCTCCTCCCCTTACCTGCATTTGAGTTCCATCGTTGCCCTCCCTCCTCACCCTTTTGTTAATATTTTAAATATTATCACACTTATCAGGTGGGCCCTCTTTACAGGATTATTTATTTAATATTTTTATTTTATGTATATATAATTAGAATTAGAATGTCAGGTAAAGTCAGCTGCACTCACGGTCTTCCATAAAAACACTTCTTTATTGGGTTAGTTTAAAACAATCACTTTTAAAAGTTTTTTTGCAGGCATTAGGGGAACTGCCTGAGAGCTCAGGCAGGCCCCCTGCAGGTACTGCACAAGCCGGCTATTCCAGCCATGTGATCGCGAGGACCCCGTGTTCACATGGCAAGAGAAGGCCATATTGGGCAGAGTGGGTCTGTCTGAGCTCCTAGGCAGACCCCAGGATCACTAACGTCAGCGGGGTGTCGCCAGCGATCAAGTAAGTGGGGATTTACATACTGACATACACACAGACATACTGACACACACACACACAGATATGCTGACACACACACACACACACAGGCATACTGACATACACACACAGACATACTGACACACACACTGACAGACATACGGACACACACACATACATACTGACACACACACACACAAAGGCATACTGACATACACACAGACATACTGACATACATACACAGACATATTGACACACAGAGGCATACTGACATACACACAGACATACTGACACACACACACACAGGCATACTGACACACACACACACACACACACACACATACTAACACACATGCTATATTTAGCCACCCTCCAGGTTCTTACCTTTTTCTGGAAGGTGGTTTCCCTGGGGTCCAGTGAAAGATCTGGAATAAAGTTACCAAACAATTATGCAGTGTTGCTCTATAGCAGATCTGCACAACTTGGCAGTAGGAAGGGTCAAAACTGAAATAGGCTAAACTTCTTCAGGCCACAGGTAGGATTTTAGCGCCTCACTTTCCAAGTAAAGGTATAAAATCGCATATAAAAATACAGAAATGGGGGGGCAGTATGTGTGTGTGTGTGTGAGGGTACAGTATGCGTGTCAAGGGGGCAGTGTGTTTGTGTGTGTGTGTGAGGGGGCAGTATCTCTGTGTGAGGGGAGAGTATGTTCGTGTGTGATGGGGCAGTGTGTCTATGGGGGGCAGTGTGTGGGGGGGCACTACATGTTTTGGGGGGTAGTGTGTGTGAATGTGTAGAGACTTATTGTGTGTGTGTGGGTAGCTTAAAGCAAATATATATATATGTATATATATATATGTATATATATATATATATATATATTTAAAATAACATAATACTAATACTTTATAACTCCACTCCCTTCTTACCTTTACTCAGTGAGGGGGGATATTTCCTGCAATCCCTGCTGGTCCCAATTAAGAAGTGAACTCTTGCCTGCAGCTCCTGAGGCTAGAGTTCACTCTCGCGAGATACGAAGCATCGTCATGATAACCACAGTAACACTCCGAGCCTGCGAGAGGAGGACCCAGAGAAGCTGCAGGTTAGAGCTCCAGGGTCCTCTCTCTGTCCCCTGCTGGCTGCCATCAAAGTGCCAGTGGGCTGGTGAGGGAGATCTCCCCTCTGGTCCGTGAAGGCACATAGCGCTGGCCCTGCAGGGGAGAGCAAGGGTGGTTTTCAAGTGGGGCAGCAATTGCCCCGTTGCCCCTTTCCATCCCCCAGATCCGGCAATGCCCACTGGGATGCCGATAAACAAGGGGTCTGGTTGGGCTGTTAAAGGCACACAGAGCTCAACCTGGCCCCTACTGACAAAGGCCTCTGTGCCACATGTTGTGCAGGCCTGTTCTATAGTAAGTTGAAAAAAAAGTGAATAATGTAGGAATATTTGAATATAGTGAAATTGCATTACGAAATACATATATCTATAGAGATCAAAATGATCATGAACATTCTCTATGTACATATTGATAAAATTGTGTGGTTTGAAATCAGATGCATAGTTATTATAATTAAAATTATTTCATATTTTGAAAAACATTTAATAATTTGTTATTTTGATTTTACATACATTAATGTTATTTTAAATATTTAAATATTTTAAAAATAATTATTTATCAATTTTATCAGAAGAAAAAGTAAAATGGGGCCTACAGACATTTGTTACTAGTATAGTGCATAAACTGTTTAGGGACAGTATCTACATATTGAAATCTTCTACATATTTGCATAGGGGCTCATTTACTTAACTGGCAGCAGGAAGTATTGGGAAAAGAATTACAATTTTGATGCCAAATTTGCAAAACTGGTAACAATTGTCAAGTTGGAGGTTTTCCAGATTTTGTTATTTTGGCCTAAAATATGCAATTAACTTCTCAAAGCTTGGTTAAGTGAATAAACTCCCCCAATGTTAGGAATTCAGTTATACATTTCAAATCTTAAACCAACTGTGTAGGTTGTTGGATACAAACATTGCATAAGGGGGATCTCTTAATTTCACTACCCGCTGCAATAATTATGCACACAAATACACATACACATACACAGAGACATACTAAGAATGGCAGATGGATTACTGTAGGATCTGGTAGACTTAGAGTTGTGGATAAAAGGCATTTTGCACAGTCTGTTGCTCTACATAATTCATTTTCTGCACTTTCAGAGTGTAATGGTGTTGTGGAGAGAGGCACTGAGGCTAGTGGTGTTGTGGAGAGGGGCATTGAGGCAAGTGGTGTTGTGGAGAGAGGCACTGAGTCTAGTGGTGTTGTGGAGAGAGGCACTGAGGCTAGTGGTGTTGTGCAGACCGGCTTGGAGACCATGGTGAGGCCTAATAGAAAGCAGTTGTTGTTGGGGGATTCCATCATAAGAGGTGTGGAGATGGACAATGGTGGTCTTGTGAGGTGTCTTCCCGGAGCTACTGCTCACAGAGACAGGAGATGTATCTGTAATATTGTTAAGCAAGCAAAGCAGGAAGGGGAATTGGATGTATTTGTCCATCTAGGGACAAATGACTTGGCTTGCAATGAGGTTTCAGAGGTTAAGGAAGTTTTTAGTGTTTTTGCCAATGATATACGGCGGGTTGCTTCCACACTGTCATTCTCTGAAGTTCTGCTTGTGCATAACACTCAGAACGACAGGGGGATGCGTATTCGGGACTTTAATCTGTGGCTTGGTGAATGGTGTCGGGAGCAAGGATTTGGCTTTATTTCTCATGGTAGCTCTGTTTGGTATGGAAGTAAGCTGTACAAAAAAGATGGTTTGCATCTTTCTCAAAAGGGAACAAATGTTCTCAGTGAGCAGTTCAGAGGTTTTGCTAGGATGTATTAAATTAGGAAGGGTGGGGGGGGGCAAAAGGGTGATAAAACATCAATCCAATTGTCCCCCAAAACAAGGACAGCAGGTGCCTGTAGCAAGTGTGTTAAAAAATTATAAGCTTAGAGTCATGTCTACAAATGCTCGCAGTTTAGGGAATAAGATCCATGAATTTGTGGCAATAATGGCAACTGATAGTGTAGATTTAGTCGCTGTTACTGTGTCTCATGAGAAAAATTACTGGGACATAGCAATACCAGAGTACTCTTTATATAGAAAAGATAGGGAAGGCAAGAAAGGGGCAGGGGTGGCCCTGTATGTGAAGGATAGCATAAAATCTAGCCTAATAAAAGTTAGTGAGGCAAACATAGAGTCCGTTTGGGTTACGTTAGAATTTGGTAATCACACAGTAACTCGTGTAGGTGTGATTTATAGGCCCCCATGACAAATTGAAGAGTTAGATAATCTACTAGTTGAGGAAATAGCTAAAATGACAATGAAAGGGGAAGTTATCATCATGGTCGACTGTAATCTTCCTGATGTAAATTGGAAAACAAAATTAGCTACTTGTGCCAGGAGCACACATATTCTAAACTCCCTACTGGGATTGTCTCTAAAACAAGTTGTTGAGGAGCCAACTCGTAAAGAGGCCATACTAGATTTAGTGTTAACAAATGGAGATTTGGTATCAGATATTACTGTAGGTGAAAGTTTAGGATCCAGTGATCATCAGTCAGTGTGGTTTAATATAAGAACAGTGACTGAGTCACACCACACAATAACAAAAGTTTTAGACTTTAGAAAAACAGACTTTTCTAAAATTAGAATATGTGTAGAGGAGTCATTATCAGACTGGAGCAATGTAAATGGAGTCCAAGAGAAATGGGATTATTTAAAAGTTGCACTATTGAAGGAAACAGAAAATTGCATTAGGCTTGTCAGTAAAGGCAAAAAATTCAAGAAACCACTGTGGTACTCCGCAGATGTGGCCAAAATAGTTAAAAACAAAAAGTTAGCATTTAGGAATTATAAAAAAAAACCAGAGTGAGGAAGAAAAAATGATCTATAAGATTAGGCAGAAAGAGGCTAAGTAAGTTATAAGAGCTTCCAAATCACACACAGAAGAGAAAATAGCACAGTCAGTAAAAAAGGGGGACAAAACATTTTTTAGATACATAAATGAGAAAAGAAAAGTAAAACAAGGATTAGTTAGATTTAAAACAAAAGAAGGAAGGCATGTAGAAGAGGATAAAGGTCTAGCTGACTGTCTCAATTAATATTTTTGTTCTGTATTTACAGATGAAAATGAAGGAAAGGGACCTCAGTTAAGAAGAAGGATAAATGAGTCATTTATTACACGTGAGTTTACAGAGGAAGAGGTTCTATTTCAACTGTCAAAAGTAAAGACAAATAAGTCAATGGGACCTGATGGAATACACCCAAAGCTATTAAAAGAGCTTAGTGGTGTACTAGCAAAACCATTAACAGATATATTTAACCAATCATTGTTAACAGGAGTAGTCCCAGAAGATTGGAAGTTAGCGAATGTTGTGCCCATTTACAAGAAAGGTAATAGGGAGGAGTCGGGCAACTATAGGCCAGTAAGCCTTACTTCAGCAGTGGGGAAAGTGATGGAAACCATGTTAAAGGATAGGATTGTTGAACATCTAAAAACACATGGATTTCAAGATCAGAGACAACATGGGTTTACTTCAGGGAGATCATGCCAAACTAATCTTATTGATTTTTTTGATTGGGTAACTAAAATTATAGATCAGGGTGGTGCAGTAGACATTGCTTACCTAGATTTCAGTAAGGCTTTTGACACTGTTGCACATAGAAGGCTTATCAATAAACTGCAATCTTTAAGTTTGGATTCCAATATTGTTGAATGGGTAAGGCAGTGGCTGAGTGACAGGCAACAGAGGGTTGTAGATAATGGAATATATTCGAAGCTTGGACTTGTCACCAGTGGGGTACCTCAGGGATCTGTACTTGGACCCATTCTCTTTAATATTTTTATTAGTGATATTGCAGAAGGTCTTGATGGTAAGGTGTCTTTTTGCTGATGATACTAAGATATGTAACAGGGTTGATGTTCCAGGAGGGATAAGCCAAATGGCAAATGATTTAGGTAAACTAGAAAAATGGTCAGAATTGTGGCAACTGACATTTAATGTGGATAAGTGCAAGATGATGCATCTTAAATGGAAAAACCCAAGGGCAGAGTACAGAATATTTGATAGAGTCCTAACCTCAACATACGAGGAAAGGGATTTAGGGGTGATTATTGCTGATGACTTAAAGGTAGGCAGACAATGTAATAGAGCAGCAGGAAATGCTAGCAGAATGCTTGGTTGTATAGGGAGAGGTATTAACAGTAGAAAGAGGGAAGTGCTCATGCCATTGTACAGAACACTGGTGAGACCTCACTTGGAGTATTGTACACAGTACTGGAGACCGTATCTTCAGAAGGATATTGATACCTTAGAGAGGGTTCAGAGAAGGGCTACTAAACTGGTTCATGGATTGTGGGATAAAACTTACCAGGAAAGGTTAAAGGATCTTAACATGTATAGCTTGGAGGAAAGACGAGACAGGGGGGATATGATAGAAACATTTAAATATATAAAGGGAATCAACACAGTAAAGGAGGAGACTATATTTAAAAGAAGAAAAACTACCACAACAAGAGGACATAGTCTTAAATTAGAGGGACAAAGGTTTAAAAATAATATCAGGAAGTATTACTTTACTGAGAGGGTAGTGGATGCATGGAATAGCATTCCAGCTGAAGTGGTAGAGGTTAACACAGTAAAGGACTGAAGTGGTAGAGGTTAACACAGTAAAGGAGTTTAAGTATGCTTGGGATAGGCATAAGGCTATCCTAACTATAAGATAAGGATAGGGACTAATGAAAGTATTTAGAATATTGGGCAGACTAAATGGGCCGAATGGTTCATATCTGCCGTCACATTCTATGTTTCTATGTTTCTATAGATACACACAAACACACATACAGATACACAGATAGATACACAGACACACGGATAGAAACACAGACACACATACAGACACAAAGGCTAAAACCCTACTGGGATGATAATCTATATTCTTTTTTATGAGACATTTAGGATTACAATGATACTATTCTGCAGACAGCGAATACTTCATAAATATTTACAGTGCCATAAAAACATTAATTTGATACCTGAGCTCACCAGCATGGGGCAGGTTAAAGTCAGTTCAAGCTGTTCACTGTACTTTCTATAATGCCAGTTCATCAAATACAATTTAATTCAGTTGTCTTAATACTAGATCTTTCTCCTGTTACGGATTTAGTTTTGTGTTGGGTTAATAAATAAGGAGGGGCAAAGCAAAATTCAAACATTGACTCAACTAATACTTATAATGAATAACATGTAATTACACATATACTTAAAAATCACTTTGCTAATGGCTCAAAAATTTTACAAGGTATAAAATATTCAGTAATTTAATCGTACTATAGCAATATATGTATCTAAGTATATGGGTGGGCTATATCTAATCGGAGAGTCCACAAAGAGTCAATGGATGCCCATGGACTCAACTGATGCTATGCAGGCTATATGAACCATAAATCTTAAGTTTGCCAAAGTGCCATAGGAAGTTTGTTCTATGTATGTGGATCCGGCATTGGCCAGCCATGCTGTAGAGCATACACATGTACATATGTATTTAATAGCTGTGAATATGTATTTAATATGTCATCTTTTTTTTACTCTATTGTGTAGTGTCATCACAAATGTCCATGTTCATTCACATACAGTATACATATTAGCAGCGGCAGAACTAGCATTGTGCAGTCCATTGGGTGACCTATGCACTTAAGGCCACTCGATGGTAAAGTGTCTTGAGAGGCCCTGTCAGTACTGCGACCCTTTAACAGCGCTATTGGGGCCCTTAAATGATGACAGTGCTGGGAAGAAGTGACAGCTGGTTACTTCCTTCCAGCTATCACAGAGCGCAACATGAAAGGAAGCAAAAGAGAAGGGGAGTGTGGAGTGAGAGAGCCTCTTACTCCCAAAAGCCTGAGTCAGCCGAGTGGACCCCAGGGAAGCTAAAAAATTTACATTTTGCATGTGTGTCTGTTTGTATCTGTGTGTCTGTTTGTGTATATCTGTGTGTCTACATGTGTGTCTGTTTGGGTGTATCAGTGTGTGTTTGTGTACATCTGTGTTTGTGTCTGTTTGTGTGTATCTGCATGCCTATTTGTGTGTATCTGTGTATATGCATGTGTGTCTGTGCATATCTTTGCTGTTCCTTTTGTTCTTTTATAACTGTGGCTTTAACACCTTGAATGCATGCAGAATGTGTGCTGCTTTGTGCATATCTATGTGTCTCTTTGTGTGTACATGTGTGTGTATCTGTGTGTCTGTGTATCTGCACGTGTCTGTATGTGTATCTGTTTGTCTATATGTGTATCTATCTGTTTGTCTATATGTGTATCTGCAGGTTTCTGTATGTGTGTCTGTGTTTTTTTCCGTGTGTCTGTATGTGTATCTGCATATGTGTCTGTATGTGTATCTGCTTGTCTGTGTATCTGCAAATGTGTCTTTATGTGTGGCTGTGTATCTATCTGTGTTTATGTGTATCTATCTGCCTGTCTGTGTGTCTGTGAAGCTGTGTGTCTGTATTTATCTGTGTGTCTGTGTATCTGTTTGTGTCAGTTTTTGAGGTGGGAGGGGAGGGCAAAACAATTCTTGCACCAGGGCCCTCTCTATTTTAGTTTATGCCACTACCTATTAGGATGGCATCTATAACCAGATCTTCCCTCTGGTTGTCAATTCATTTGTACAAGATAGTCCAAAACACCTTTAAATCTCATCAGCTATCTATTTATTGGGCCAAAATCGAAGATGCCAACTTTTAACCTTCCAAGTCTCCAGCACACTTCCTTTATATGCACTAATGCAGCTTTGATCATCAGATATGAGGTGTTCAGGAGAATTATTCACTATAGCAACAAACCTTGGGAGGGTATTGAAATGTCACTTCTACTAGCTTTACACTATAATGAATTTATATCCCCTGAATGATTCCACTCTAAGCTTAAAACAAACAATATTTGATAAAGTTAAAAATAATAAAACAAGGAAAACTACTTATTTAACTTTATATA